AGGACGTTTAAACAATTATAGTCAAACAAGAATGGGGGTAGGATGATGGTAATACCCTATGTACAAATACATTTGATTTAAAATACTAGAATTAATATGAATCAGGGTGACTGTGAAAGAAATGCACGAAAACTTTTTGTAACCAACTGATACACTTTCTACAGTATGTAAAGAAAGAGGATTTTTTGTGTTGTCTCTGTTTTAAAAAATAAAAATAAAAAACTTTTAATTAAAAAACATTAAATTAAATTGCTAGATCTTATTTAACAATTTATATTATTCTGAAAAAGAAAATAATTGGTAAAATATATACTTTGTGGTTTCATGTTTTTTCTCTTATACCTATAAAGAAGCTATATGATGTCCAAAAGCCAACTTGATGGAATGATTGAAGTTATTGGTTTAGTCCTGCCTTAGGCATAAAGCCAGCTAGATGATTTTGATTCAGTTGCTCTCTCTCAGACTTAGGAAGAAAGCAACTGCAAATCTCTCCTGAAATACTATATTTACCAAGAACAAGAATTAAGATTAGCTTGAAGAGATATTTATTTTTAGGCCCCAATAAAAGAGAACAATAGAAGCTCAATTCAAAATATTCTGAGGCAAGATTTTGAGAGACTGGAAAAATATCCCTCTGATTTTTTTACCAAGTAAGCTTGTGTAACCCTATGAGGTACTATTTCAATCTGGGAATATTGTATAATCTTTACTGTGGGACTTCAGTTGATATTTCTCCATTAGATTACTCCCTAATAGTCAATCAAAACAAGGGAAATATTTTATGATAGATTCCATTATAACAAGAAAATAAAACATTTTTTTCTATGAATGGTATTTCTTGAAAAGATATTCTATCCCAATTTGTTTAAGCACAATTATAATTGTTAATAACACACCAGAATAATCTATTAAAATTAATCCCGGATTACTCTTTAGGTCCTAAAAGAATACCAGAAAATCTTTGAAGAATGATTTCCAAACTTCCACGAGGAGTGAAATAAAACCAATACAAGGATGCCTGGTCTTGCTGATGAATAAATAAGATTTTTTGTCCTCCAAAATGTTCTGCAGTTTTATTAGACATTACTGAAACACTACTAGAAAAGTTTTGTTTAAAAAAAAGATTGTTCCCATTTTTTTTAGGCTTTATTCATTATAATACTTTAAATGTATATTGGCCACTTTGGTTAAAATTGCATTTTTAAGATGGCTCATGAAAATGAAACAAGAAATAACAAAAATGTGATATAAAATATTTAAAATTATAATGAAGACCATCTAAAACTAGCATGTTGGTTTGGCTGAACAGTCCTAATATTATTCATAGGGTCCTGATTATGGAATGGGTATTATATCAACAGCAGATTGGCAGAGCAGAATCAGTTCTTGTATGCGTACTTGTTTTAGTAGAGAAAAGAATCATCCATAGAAAGGATTGGAACAATTAAATTTAGATTATTTCTGAGCTCATTTAAGTATTTTAAATATTATGGGTCATGGAGGTGGACAAACATACTTGGGATGTAGTAGTAGCCTCAGAGGACAGCAAGAAGTCAGTTAGGATATATGTCCTTCTTTAAAAGCAAATCTAAAAAGTACCTCGCTCCTGTCTTATAAAAAATTACTGTTTAGTACAAAGACCCCATTAGTTTTAAGAAGGGTGATTAAAACTTTGGCTGTTATGAGTAAGTTATTTCCCATTCAGTCATATTTTTGTTAATCATTTGAAATTATTATTGTTATAGCCATTGTTATCCAATTGTATTCCCTAAAATCTAATTAATATGATTCTGGCCTAATCCAGTCAATTAAGAATATTGGACACACATAGATACATAATAAAGAATTAAAATATGTCTCTTTATATTCAGTCTAGCATTTTTAAAGGGGATTGTCTAATTTCCGTTTTCTCACATGAGTTATATATAGAGAAATATTTATTTATTTAGTCAGACAGTCAGTTCCTGTATCCCACAATTTAATCAAGTTACTCTGGTTAATTTAAATTTCTAAAAAATTCTAAAATTATGTAATACCAAGTTATTCTGTCTGTTACACAGCTGTTGGATCTTCTTTCTTTACCTTTGTTTCATTATGGCAGGAAATGAGAAATTGATTTTTAAGTTTGATTTAGGATGTAATATAAAGTTTCAAATGCAACATTATTTTTGGAAAAATATTGCAGAAAAAAAGAGAAGTATATTTAAATTCTAAATAAACTATGAATCAATTCATATAAACCATTTAAAAATCAGGAACAAACTGCTCAAACAGTGAAACACACACACACACAAACACACACACAAACACACACACATCCCTCCCCTCACACATATACATAAACATTCTGCTTGCCTGTCTGCCTATCTCTACTTACCTACTTACCTATCTACCTATCTATTCTGTAGTGATTGAGTTATGTCTCATAAAGGATAACTCAACTGTAATGCATTTATTGTTGAAATTTGATTACACACACACACACACCATTATGCCTGTAAAGGAATAAATGGAGACAATTATATTACATTCAGATTTTGTTGTTAACTGTAGAATAAGGTTTTTCATATTATTCCTTTTGGATATATTTCTGTATTTGTATATAAATACGTTAAATTCATATTATTTCTCTTCCTCCCTCAATATAAAAAAGGAAATATTTTTACATATTAGTGACAACTAAAACACCAAAGAATGTTGTTTTTCACTTTCAGTTAACACAATATAAAAATACGTGCAGAAATCTGAGACAATTTTATAAAATAATTTCAATAAGAATTTTAGTGTGCTCTTTGCCTAATGAGCAATCTTTACCACCTTCTCATTATTGATTGCTGGAGGAGTCTGTGATCTTTTGGATGAGCCTTTTTGCACCTGAGAGGAGCATTGGCAGATGAATAAGACCGTACTACTGTTAATGTTCTCCTGCAACTACTGGGAACTCCACATGCAAAAAGTAACAAAACTGGTGGTAGCAAAATGAAGGATCCCAAATGGCATGTTATGTGTAGATGTTTGTGTCAGCTCTGTTAAATCAAAACTACTTCAGTTTTAGTCTTCTGGGGGAAACTTCACTTTGCACCATTGCTTTCACTGGGGACACTTAAATTGATAAAATCTATCAAAAAACCCCTCTTCTTCCTTGCTACTACCAACACTAATTTCCCATCTTTGTGGCAGAAAGTAGTAGGGCTTTGGAAGTGATAAAACATGTTGTAGAAGTCCTTATTGACACCTGTGCCCTTTGCAACTGAGTAGGAACTTTGGGAACTAACTGAAGGAATTCAAGACTGCTGCTTATAATCTTTCCTAGGAAATAATTGCTGTTTATTATACTTAAAGCGCAGGGAAAGATGTATCTATAGAAGAAAAGCAGCAATTGCCTGATTCTGCAAAAGATGAAAAAATATTGCCAGTGATTTTAGATAAACATGTAGAAATGCTTCCACCAGACTCAAAAAGCCGGAAAGAAGAAATTACTATATCTCCTCAACAACATGTGCCAAGTACTAAACAGAAAACTTTGCAAATTACTCCAGAATTCAAAATGAAGGACACAGCTGAAGCTAAGGTAATTGAAGCTAATTGGAGACTTTTGGGGGAAAAAACTTTCAGTTGTCATATTACCAAGATGTAACCTTATAAGGACCAGTGCCACTGTCTCCATACATAGGTTTGTATATGTATTACAGAAACATAGCAAAGTATTGGTGAAAGATTAGGAATTATACAGATTATTTCAGATTAGTCCATATGCTTCTGCAGATATATGAAAAATGTGTGGAATATTTCAGCAATAATAATTTAAAAATTAGGTACTTGTGATAATTTTATAACATCTCTTCTTTAAAGCTAGATGCACAGCTGTTTGCTTGGTCACAGCCATGGGTAGCCATGGGCAAAAACATCATGGGGTTGCAGTGAGGTAGCCCAGCTGGTCACCGCCATGCTGTAGCCCCTGTGCACTTGGCACCCTCCTCAAACCTCATTCTCCAATGGGCCTGCAACTCTCCTCACCCCCGATGGCTCCAGCAATGGGAAGGGCAGGGAGCAGGTTTGCTAGAGGATGCACAGAGATTGTAACATGGTGGAGACTGGCTGGGTTGCCTCACCACAACCCCATGATTTGTCTTTGCCTGCAACCTCCATGGCTGAGACAGAGCAGGTGGCTGTGCATCTGGCAGGCCTAATTGGTTGCCTCTGCCTGCTTCTTGGATCATCATTCTGGTAGTTGCAGGAGTTAGACCCACTGCACTGCAGGGCTGTCGACTCCCAGCTGCCTCTTGTGGATGGGGCTCCCCACCTTTTCTGTTTGCCAGAGGCTTCGTGAATGGGGCGGTGGGTTGAAGACTCTTCCTGCATGTAAAGCAGAGTTAGAAAATGAAGTTGGACAACCCCACTCCACCCTGTCACCTGCCTCCCCTCATCTCATGACAGCAAACAATGGCAGCTGATGAAGGTAGAGGCATGGGGAGAGGTAATCCAGCCTGTCAGATGCACCGGGTGGCTGCCCAGCCATGGTGACTGTGGGTAAGCAAAGACAGAGAATGGGACAGAGCATGTGGGGGGGTGGGGGGGGTGGGAAACTGCCCAGCACTTCCAACAGGCCGGATCATGTGCCTCCTCCCCTGTGCCTCTCACATGCTCACTTCCTCCTGTGCATGCTCCGGGGGTGTCCGGCAGGGTGGATAATCCCTCATTGTCTCTGGGGTGGCCATGCAGGCCAAATCTTGGCCTTGTGTTTGTTATATCTGGTTGAAGACTTTGTTCCTGCCCTCAAACAATAAAGCCAGTGAATGCGAACAAGCAGTAAATCTGAGCCATGAATGGTTTTGTTTCCTGGGCTTGGCCTTAGATCTGACCTGGAGGGCTGCCCTCACACCTCAATCCCGTCCCCTGGGCACACACATGTGGCAAATATGCAAGTGCTGCAGTCCTGGGTGAAAGTGAAATGCTCAGACTGTAGTCAGCCTGCAGGGCAACATGGACCCTGGGAATGCCAGGCCCCATGTGCTCTCACCATCTCCTGTGCATGCACCCAGGGGACAGGGCTGGAGCAGCCCCTTGCGGGTTCCAGGGCAGCCCCACAGATCTAAACCTGGCCACTTTCTGACCTGGATGGCTGGCACTAAGTTGTAAATCGGCACCTGGCTGAAGCACTGTGGGCTGGTCCTTTGGTACTTCCAGGGTGAGATCTAATCACCTTGTGGGCTGGGCCCACAGCTCCACAGGCCTTGAGTTTGACACCCGGCTTTAGATAAATCTTTAATATTTTACAGTTATTTCTCCCTCTTAAAAATATTTCTGTAGTAACAAACTTTATGGTCATGCTTCTGATTTCCTGTTTGCATTTGAACCCATTATCTTGGAAAATATGTTGCTGTAATTTTACAATTAAGGTAGCAGTAGAATTCATAGTTTGCATTTCTAGTCTGGACTACCTTGAAGACAGATTCAGTTGCAACTTGGGTTTTTTCTAGACTTATTATTTATTGACAATAGATATAGTTTAAATAAATAACTGATAATGTTACTATGTATAATGTTATGAGTGTAATTGGATATGAATATTGAATGGTACCCATGTAAGGAAGATTAGCAATTCCTTTGGATTATACGTAAAGGTTAATAATAACAATAAAAAAGAACTAAGTTAGATACAGTTAAAGTTTTGATTATGAGGGGGAAAATGTTATGATAAAGATAGTCAAATAAAAGAGGGATAAGAATAACAACGTATATATAGATATGGGTATAACATAAGGAAACTGGATATAAACTTTAAACAGTGATTTGGAAAGGAGGATTAGAAAACTTTGTTATTAAATATTATGGATGTTTAGCTAGAATAGGATATAAGGATTTAGTTAGTGGAGGATTTTAGAAATAGTAATTGAAAGGCCAGTATGTGCTTATGTATTAAATTTTGGTATATTTTATGATGGACGCTTAAACAATTATAGTCAAATGAAAATGGAGATATGATGATGGTGACATGTATGAATATTTGAGTTAAAATACTTAAGTTAAAATGAATTATGTTTGTTGACTGTGGAAGAGATGCACGAAAATCTTTTTGTAACCAACTGGTATACTTTCTATAGCATGTAAAGAAGGACGTTGTATTTGTTTTACATTAAAAATTAAAAAAATATTAAAGAGTCAAGGCTAAAGCAGAGGTGGGTTGCTGTTGGTTCAGCCAAACCAGTAGTAGAATTTAGGCCTGGGCCGCAGAACTGGCTGAGACCCAGGCCTAACACGCCCCCGAACTGGTTCTCTGGTATCTTCTGTCATTGCCGGCATGGGTCTGCACATGCATAGAGCAATTTTTTGTCAAATGCGCATGCGCAAGCAACACGTGGCTGGTGCGTGTGCACAGCGAACTGGTACTATCCAGTTCAGGAACCCACCCTTGGGCTAGAGCCTTTGCGCAGTTTTGTGTTGTGTGCCAGTTGTACTGTTTCCTGAATCAAGAGACTCTGCACTAAAACCCTGGTCATCTTATTCTTGGACTATTTCAACATGCACTACAGGGGCTTACCCTGGAATAATATTTGGAAGCTACAGATGGTGCAGGATGAAGCCACACAGACAATTCTAGGTTCTAGAGTGGTCCATGTTACACTGCTATTCCATAGGCTGTTCTGGTTGCCAGTTTGCTTCCAGGTTTCACATTTTTGCTTTCTATTTCTTGGTTAGTGAAATGTAAGCTTGCAGAATTTATTACACTATCTCCTTCACAGAGTATATATGCAACAGTATATTCAAAAAATGTTTTTGAATGTCATATTAATAAATCCATATTTTGTATCTTGTATTCAGTTGCTATAAATTAATATACAGAAGCTCTCTAATCATATTTTATTCCAGTTCATAAAGAATAGACAGAAAACAAGAAAATAATCATTAAATTGTGTAGAGTAGATAAAAAGACCAACAGATTTAATGTATATTACAAAAAAGCACATAATATTCTATTTACCATTTTAAAAATTATTTTCAATAGCCTTTAACATTGCAAAAAGAAATTCAAAGACTTGACATAGACTCAGCAGGACTTCAAAAAGGTAATTGTTATTCTCATTTTGTTATTTTACTCTTAAAAATTATAAACTTGCATAATATCTTATATAGTGTTCTTTGAAAAAAGAAATCTTACGTTACAATCCTAGTATAATTCCAAAGTATATTTTTAAAACTGTAATTTACTTATGGATAAATCGTAAAGGTGATTTTGGAAGGTGTGCATTATAAATCTACATGATCCTCAGCCCCATTAAGTAAAATATTTATTAGACTGTATGCAGTGGTAGATTTCAATTTTTTTTTAGAACCTATTCCCGAACATCCTCCCCCCACCAGCCACTCAACAGTTCTTTCTTCTTCTGGTTCTTCTTAGAAATTTTCGGCAGCATGGTGAGGATGGGCGGGGCGAGTGAAAGATCGAAGGAGGGGAGGGAGAGTTCCGGTATGGCGCCTCCTGACCAACGGGTACAGGAAGGCACTAAATTTCACCATCCAGTATGGCCGTACCAGTCCGTACCAGTTGAAACACACCCCTGACTGTATGGATAAAAAATTCTTGAATCCCAATCCAAAAGTACATTCCATGAAGACAAGAAATACAGTGTTCTCCAGTGCGCTGCTTAGAGAGTCCAAGCATGGGTTAACACAGTCTATCAGCCTTGGACTGAGTGAATTTTTCTTTGACCACGCCTGCCTTTGCCTCCCTATTTTCAATTTATAAACACAGTCCGCCCGTGAGGACTAATTTAGGGAGCTCTCCTGTCCAATTACAGATGGACTGGTCTCCCCAAGATTGATTTGACCACTTTGTATTACATATTTCTGGATAAGAACCAAATTGTACCAACTATTGATATTTGACTGCTGAGAGGCTTCTGGGCTGTTTTCTTCCCTGCTGGTCGCAAGCGGGGTCGGAATGTGTGAGTCGCTTGCCCAGCGGCTGCTGGCGAGCGAAGGGGGGGCGGGAGGCCTCCCGACTCCACAAACCACCAGCAGCCGAATTTTGGAGCCGCGCCGATGATCACGGTCTTGGCGACATCGGTGGTGCTCTCTTCTGCCCAGCAACATCGGCAGGCATTTTTGGTCATATTCGCACGCTTTCTCCTCGTTGACTGGTGGTTTTGGTGGGCAGAGGCTAACCGCGTAGCGGCTGCCATTTTCTTCATTCCGACTTGTGAAGGAGCAGAGTGAGGAGCGTTTGGAGCCATGGAGAGAGAGAAGGTTGTGTACGTTGCCTCTCAGCTGCAGATTACTGCCGGGAGGTGCGGTGCCTAGTCCGGGGTGCCAGCTAGTCCTGCCCTCCTGTTTCTCACCACTCAGGGACCCGAGGGCGGTCGGAGGAAGGGATCTATCCTTCGGGCGGTCCTCTACTTCCCTGAAGATCTGCGGGCATGCTTTAGCTGGCTGGCTACCGTCTGGTGTCCGCTTGCTGCAAGTCCAGCCAAGAGTCCGGGAGTCCTACCCATCCGAGGCCTACAGGCAGCATGGCTGATGACAGTTTGGAGACGCAGGAGGTGCAGGCAGGGCCTTCCAACAAACGCAGTAGGCTAGATCCTCCACCCAAGGGGGGAAAATGGGGCAAGGGGACCACCAGAAAGTCCTCCCTGGGGCCCTCAGGGACCGTTGACAAGGCCAGAGGGGGTTCCCTGCAGCATAAGTCTGCGGAGGCAAAGGCTTCGCATACCCACAGGCCCCGGTCTCTACCTGAGCAGGGAGACCTTCCACCCGGGCCCCCATCTGATCACAGGATGGGAAGAGACTCCCCTTCCATTCGGGACAGTGGGTCCCAATCCATGGGAGAGGGAGATTTGAGGGAGTGCTCTCCGGATGCCTCCTGGGGGTACCCGGAGTCATCCAGCTCTTCTCTTCAAGAAGAAATGGAGCCTTTCCAGAGCATGCTCCCTGCGGAAGAAGGGTCTACCTCAGGCAGGCACAAAGGCCATTTGCCTTCCAGCAGGCATTGCCCAAAGGAGGATAAGGGTCCCGCCTTATCCGCTGAAATGAGGGAGGTGATCTCCTTAGCCATCTCTCAAGGCATAGCGGAGGGCATTAGGCAGAAGGAGTCCCACAAGTCTGGTTCCCCCAAGGCCAAGCAGTCTCCTGTGGCCACTGCTACCCAGGCTCTGGCCTCCCTGGCCACCTCAATAGCCACGGAGGATTCCTCCTGGGAGAACGAGGAGGCTGATGAGTTCGAGTTATCAGAGGATGAGGATCTTCTCCCAGATAAGCCAGCTTTTACCAGCCTATTCAAGTCTTCCTTGTTTAAATCCATATTTCACAAGGCCAAGGTGACAACTGAGCTAGGTTTTACACCCAAAGCTGACGCTGTACTGGCTTCTTCCTCCAAAGACCTCAAGGAAGGGCTATTCAAGGAGACAGCTCCCACTCAGGAGCTTATCCCTGTTCCAGATCTCTTCATGGACGTTGTCCAAAGACAGTGGGTTCAGCCCGGTACCTTAACGAACCCCAGTGGAGGGGATAAATCCCTTTATTCTGTGGAAGGGAGGATGGAAGATATCTTAAAATTACCTGAGGTAGATGCCCCGATGGATTCTTTGACCTCAAATTCGAACCTACTTGATGACCTTCTGGAAGGCTAAAAGCTGAAGACAAAAGGTCAGAGAAGGCGTGTCATAAGACACTTCAGGCGGCCACCTGGGCCATTAGGGCATCCACCTCCGCGTCCTTTTTCACCAGAGCATCCCTGCTCTGGCTGAGGCAGCTTAGGTCCAAACCTCCCTCCCGGGCCTCTCAGTGGTGCCACGATCTCAGCAAGATCATTACGACTGTGGAGTACTCAGCTGATGCTTCGCTGAACTCAGTGAAGTTTGCCTCCAGAGCCTTGGTGTCCAACATAACATCTCGCCGCCTCCTATGGCTTCGCCACTGGCAGGTGGATATGAAGGCGAAGTGGAAGCTAGCTTCCGCTCCCTTCAAGGGTGGTCAGTTGTTCGGGGAGGCTTTGGATAAATTTGTCATTGAGACAAAAGGATAAGCGTAAGATTCTCCCAGCCACCCTGATGAAAAACGAGCGTAAGGGCTCTGGTTCCTTTTGTAAACAACCCTTTTGGAACCAGGACACTGCTCAAGTGTCCACTTCCTCCTCATACCAGAGGGCTTACAACCAAGGGGGTGATAGAACTCAGGATAGGAACTCCTTCGGGTCACGTAACAGACATCCGCAGCATTCCTTTTGGAAGCCATTTCGCGGGGGCAACAGCAACAACAATTCCCGTCAGTTCCGCAGGGGGAAATGACCATCACAGGATACCTCCCATAGAGGGTCAGTTCCAACTATACGCCGACAAGTGGGAGAGGATCATCTCGGACTAGTGGGTCCTCAATACAATCAGGAAGGGCCTGGTCCTAGAGTTTCTGTCTTTTCCCCAGAGGAAGTTCATTCGTTGCTCGACCCCAAAGAACTCCCTAAAGAGGGGGCTCATGCAGGCGGAGATCCTCCATCTTCTCCAAATAGAGGCCATAGAACTCGTCCTAAGGGACCAGGAAAGGCAGGGATTTTATTCCATTTTGTTCCTGGTCCTGAAGAATTCAGGGGGGTGGAGGGCCATCTTGGATCTAAAAAGCCTGAATCAGCATCTGGCTTACAAAAGGTTCAAGATGCAATCCCTCCACTCCATCCTGGATTGCATGAGATAAGGAGATCTGTTGACATCCATAGATCTAAAAGAGGCCTACCTGCATGTCCCCATCCATGCTGCCCACAGGAGGCTTCTGAGGTTCTATTATGACGGGAGGCACTACCAATACAGGGCTCTCCTCTTCGGCCTCTCGTCGGCACCCAGGACCTTCATGAACCATCCCATTCATTTAGAATGCTATCTAGATGATATAATTATCCACTCTACAACTCCAGACCAGGCACGACAAGATGTCCAGATGACCATCCAGATGCTACAACATCACAGCTTCTTGGTCAATCAGAAGAAGAGCCATCTCCGGCCGACCACGTGCATTCAACACCTGGGGGCCATCATCGACTCGGTCTTCTGTCAGGTTTAGGTTTATTAGATTTATATGCCGCCCTTCTCCCAAGGACTCAGGGCAGCGTACAACATTAAAAGAAACACATAATACAAAAGTTAAAAAAAATTAAATAGAATATCCCAAACAAACCCAATTAGAATTGACAATAACATTTTTTTAAAAAATTGAATTAAAATTAACAATGATCAATAATTTATTTTGTTTTGTTCAGGCCAGGCTGGCTTGCTGGAAAAGCCAACTTTTTAGTGTGTCGGAAGGACCGGAGGTCAGGGATTATACGAAGCTCCGGGGGCAGCTCATTCCAAAGGGAAGGCACTCCCACAGAGAAGGCTCTCCCCCTGGGGTCGCTAGCTGACACTGTCTGTCCGACGGCATCCTGAGGAGGCCAACTCTGTGGGATTGTACTAGACGGTGGGAGGCTACCGGTGGCAGTAAGTGGTCTCGCAGGTACCCTGGGCCTAAGCCATGGAGTGCTTTAAAGGTCATAATTAGTACCTTGAATCGCACCCGGAAGACAACCGGCAACCAGTTCAGGCTGCCTAAAAGGGGTGTAACATGGGAGCACCTAGGTGCCCCCATGATAACCCGTGCAGCCGCATTTTGGACCAGTTGAAGCCTCCGGGTGCTCTTCAAGGGCAGCCCCATGTAGAGAGCGTTACAGTAGTGCAGGTGAGAAAGAATGAGGGCATGAGTGACTGTGCACAGAGCATCCCGATCCAGGAAGGGGCGCAACTGATGTACCAGGCAAACCTGGTAAAAGGCCCCCCTGGTCTGGCCATCAGGTGTTCTTCCAAACTAAACCACGTATCCAGGAGGATGCCCAGATTGCGAGCCCTCTCTGAGGGGGCTAAAATTTCTCCCCCTATCATCAAAGATGGAACAAGATGCACAAATCGGGATGAGGGAAACCACAGCCACTCAGTCTTGGGGGGAATTGAGCTTGAGCCTGTTCCTCCCCATCCATATCCTCACAGCCTCCAGGCATTGGGACATCACATTGAAGGCATTGTTTGGGTGGTTTGGGGTAGAGATGAAAAGTTGGGTATCATCAGCATATTGATGATACCGTACCCCAAAACCACGGATGATCTCACCCAGTGGTTTCATGTATTTGTTGAACAGGAGGGGTGAGAGAACGGACCCCTGGGCACCCCACAAGTGATGCACCTTGGGGTCGATCCCTGCCCTCCAGTCAACACAAACTGCAACCGATCCGACAGGTAGGAGGAGAACCACCATAAAATGGTGCCCCCCACTCCCAACCCCCAAGTCATCGCAGTAGGATACCATGGTCGATGGTATTAAAAGCCGCTGAGAGGTCTAATAGGACCAGGAGAGAGGAGCAGCCCCTGTCCCAGGCCCGCCAGAGATCATCGACCAACGTTACCAATGCTGTATCCAAGCCTGAAACCCGACTGAAATGGATCCAACTTCATCCAGAGACTGGGGAAGCTGACGTGCTACCGCACTCTCAACAACCTTCGCTACAAAGTGAAGGTTGGAGACCGGACGATAGTTGGCTAAAGAAGCTGGGTCCAGGGAAGGCTTCTTAACGAGGGGCCTTACCACCGCTTTCTTCAAGGCGGTGGGAAAGAACCCCTTTCTCAATGGGTCTTTCCCAGGTCCTTGGTTAAGTAATCAAAAAAACAGGGCAGCTGGGCAATTATCTGCAGACGCGATAAGAGCGGAAAAATGTTGCCGTTTTGCCGCTTTTATCGCTACTAAGTAGGATTTAATATGAATTCTTACTAGTCTTCGATCAGATTCGGACCGGCTGGCCTTCCAACCATTCTCTAGACATCTTTTCCGGCGTTTCATCTCCCAGAGCTCCTCAGTAAACCAGGGAGCTATCCGGGATCAACACCGGGTCAGAGGCCGCAAAGGCACAACACGATCCAAAGCTCCAGTGGCTGCCCTATCCCAGGATTCCACTAGGGCTTTGGTCGAGTTGTGAGCAAGGGGTTCAGGAAAAGTCCCAAGCTCCATCAGGAACCTTTCAGGGTCCATCAGGCGCCTGGGATGGAACCATCTAGTCAGTTCCGCCTCCCTGCGGTGAGGGGTAGCAGTATGGAAGTCAAGCCTGATGAGGAAATGATCCGACTATGACAAGGGTTGGATAGTAATATCCCCTAAATCTAGATCATTCATCCACTGCCCAGAGACAAAAATCAGGTCAACCGTGTGTCCCCCATTATGGGTGAGGTCTTGAATTAACTGAGATCCATAGCCATCCTGGAAGCCATGAACTCCCTAGCTGACTTGGATGTTTCGCCAATGGAAGGCAGATTGAAATCCCCCAGGATCATAAGCCTGGGGAAATCAACCGCCAATCTAACTAACACATTCAGCAGCTCTGGCAGGGCCAATGAAACATAGCAGGGAGACAGGTACATAACAAAAAGGCCCACCTGAACTCCAAGGCCCGATTTCACAAAAAGGGACTCACACCCGCCCATCTGAGGCACTGTCAGGTGTTCCTGTCCCCGGATCAACTGGCAAATCTCAAGGGCAGAGTGCGCCAATGCCGTCAGTCCAGGTCGGTGCCAATTATCAGACTGTCCCAACTTTGGGGAATCATGATTTCCTGTCTGAAGGTGGTTCCCTGGGCACGTCTCTGTGTCAGGGAACTACAATGATTCCTTCTCCCGATGCAAAGAGCAAAGACCAGCAACTCTTCCAGACGAGTACAGCTTCCACAGAAGGTAATTCGATCCCTAGCCTGGTGGAGGACCGCGGTGGTCGAAAAGGGGTGCCTGTTCAAGGAACCCGAAAGGGTCGTGGTGACCACAGACGCCAGCCTTCTGGGATGGGGCGCCCACAGCCAGGGCCAGCTCGCCCAGGGCCAGTGGTCTCTGAGGGAAGCCGCTCACAGCATAAACTGGCTGGAGCTGAGGGCAGCCCGCCTAGCTCTGCGACGATTCTCGACTCTGATCAGGGGCCAGCATGTGCTTTTGTTGATGGACAATGTGGCAACAAAAGCACACATAAACAGACAGGGCGGCACCCATTCCAGGGGACTCATGGTCAAGGCAGAAGCTCTGGGCAGGTGGGCAGAATGACATCTAGCCTCTCTCAGAGCGGACCACATTTCTGGAACTAGCAATCAGGAAGCAGACTGGCTGAGTCAGCAACAAATCCACCACTCGGAGTGACGTCTACATTCAGACCTGTTTCAGCAGATCGTGAGGAGGTTCGGCAAACCGCAAGTAGACCTATTTGCCCCACATACCAACACACAACTGCCACAATTCTTCGCCCATTATCATTCTCTGTGGGCAGAAGGTACGAATGTGCTGAGGTGCAAGTGGCCCCCAGGACTGTTGTACGCATTTCCCCCTCTGCCTCTCATTCTGCAAGTGGTGGCCAAACTGCTGTTGGAAGGAGCAGAGTGGCTGCAGTTAGCCATCTGGCACTTGAGGGGGAGCTCCTGAGGAAGCAGAACATATCCGACAAGGTCATACGCACTATCCAGGCGTCTAGGAGGCCTTCCACCACTAGGATATACAACACAATCTGGGTTGCTTTTTTCGCCTGGTGTAAGACTAAGGGCATTAAAGACATTTCTGTTGCAGTCCCTCAATTTCTGGACTTTCTGCAGGAGTGTCTGGACAAAGGTCTGGCACCTAGTACACTCCGCATCAAATGGTGGTGTTGTCCACCATTCTTGCCAGGGGCTCATCTCGTCCACTGAGTCAGCATCCGCAGGTCAAGAGCTTCCTGAAGGGCGCGGTGAATATCAGCCCTCCGGCGGTCCACCGGTACCCGTTCTGGAACCTACTGTTCGTCCTACTAGCCTTAACGGGTCCTCTGTTCGAGCCCATTCGAACGGCAAGTTTGCATCATCTGACTATCAAGACGACTTTCCTGGTGGCCATTACATCAGTTCAAGGAGTGTCCGAACTGGCGGCTCTTTCCGTCATTGTACACACTGACAGGGTCATTTTGAGACTTGACCCCACGTTTATTCCTAAGATCAACACTCAATTTCATAGAGCTCAGGAAGTGATTCTACATAACTTTTGTCCCAAGCCTTCTCACCCTAGGGAACACAATTGGCATAAACTGGATATGAGGCATGCTGTATGCATTTATATAAAGAGGACTAAGGAGTTCCAACGGCCCGAATCCTTCTTTGTGTCTTTCCACCCTCGGTCGCTGGGCCACAAGGCATCTTCTCATACTATTGGCCGTTGGTTGCGCGCCTGTATCAAGCTGGTGTACGAGCATCAAGGCAAAACCACTCCAGACCATGTAACAGCACATTCAACCAGAAGCGCGGCTACTTCAGCAGCATGGGCGACCCAGGTGTTTATTCTCGACATTTGCAGAGCGGCCATGTGGGCTTCCCCCACTGCATTTATCAAGAACTACAAAATCGACACCTTTGCCTCAGCCGAAGCCTCCTTCGAAAGAAGAATTCTGCAGAAGGTTGCTGAGACTCAGGAGACTTCGGTCTTTACCTGCCCTGGGACACAATAGCTTGGGTATGTCCCATGCTTGGACTCTCCAAGCAGTGCACTGGAGAAAGACCGTTGGCTTATCTGAACGGTCCTTCTCTGGGCGCTGTGAGGAGTGTCCAAACCCACCCAGGGTTTTGCAAGGTTATGGGACTTTGTCTGTTGTCTGTGACTGTTGCTTCTTCGTTTTTAAACTGAAAATAGGGAGGCAAAGGAAGGCATAGTCAAAGAAAAATTCACTCAGTCCAAAGGCAGATAGACTGTGTTAACCCATGCTTGGACTCTCCTCGCAGTGCCAAGAGAACAACCGTTCAGGTCTTTTATGCTATTATTTTGTGCCATGTATTTCTTGTTCTGATAGACAACTCTTAAACTGAGATTCTTCAATTGTGCTATGACTGCCAGGTAACATGATTTCACAGATATTTGTGGGTATATTTTGTGTGTGTATAAACACAATTTATACAAACACAAGAATTAAAATGGATCTGAAATATAACAGTGCTTAAATATTTCTTAACACATACACAGCATAGTTTTAATGATCTTTATGCCTTGTGTTATAATATGTTAAAAAGTATTTTGGTTTTATAGAGGAGGAAAGTCACGACTTGATCAATAAAAGTATGCTTCAGTTAAAAGATCATTTGACTGAACTAAAGGGAATGATTGAAGCTGAAACTTTAGCAAAACTCTTGCTTGAGTCTGACAATGGTAAGTATCATTGAAATATGAGAGCAGAACATAGTGCATTCTTTGCTGGGGGTCTTCAAGATCACATTCTATGTAGGCCTAAAGTTTCAGTAAGATATTTTAAAAAATGAAACTAGAAATATTTAAGAAAGATAAACCCTATGACTTACAGAAGGGATGCTAGGATGTTTGCTAGTTATTTTTAAAATTTTAACCAATACTATTTGGCTTTATCTTTCCATTTTTACAAATTAGCATTGCTGTCAGTGTCCATATTCCATTCTATTTCTTATTATTTATTAAGCTAGGAGCTCATTGGTTTGATCCAAAATACAATTTTCTGATCTTTGCCTTCCTTTGAATCCTTCTTCATTCTTCCTTCACATATTGTTTTAAAATTTGATCCCCATTCATTCTTTTATATTACTAAGCCAGCTGAGCTTATTTCTTTCCTACTGGTCATCATTCATTCATTTCTTTCATTCATTATTTCACCATCCATCCTTTTGATACATGCTACTACTAAAAATCTATTTACTTCCCTGGCAGTCTCTAACAGAATTCTTTTCACTCTATTTCAAACATCTTTCTTATCCTCTTCCTATTTGTTTTGTTGGAAGATTAATTTGTCTTCAAGTATTTTTAACTAAAGGGTTTATTTTGTCTTGCCATAATTGCTTCACTTATCTTTCATTTCTTTTTCTTTCATATCTCTAGTTTAAAGATTACACTTTACAATACCACATTTCTTTTTTCCTCTTAATTTTGTAGATTCATACTGTATCTATTTTACTTATTTTATTTCATTTCTTGTAGTAATTCATACTTTCTTCTAACTCCTACCTTAACCCTAACTCTCTAAATCTAACTTTCAATCTTTTATATCCTGCCTGCAGTTATTACTAGAAGGGCTCATATATTTTGACCTTTGTTTCCTGTCATGTCTTTGGTTAGCTGAGGACTTCACATACTACTTCTTAATAAGATAAAGTATAGTCTAGGTTACTTGCCTTAGTTACAGCCTCGCCACATGTAACTTACTAATTACACAGTAATATCATTTGAGGTACAATTTGGTCAGTAATCATTCTGCACTATCATATCAAAATTTTATGCCAAGCCTAAATCTCCAATCAAGAAAATATTTTTCCATAGCCTGAATTAAAAAATAAACAATTTCAATTGAATCTTACTATGCTTGGAACCTGTTGTTGTTATAAAGAACATTTATGGTTGTGATGCAAAATATTAGATACAGAGAATATGTAAATATGATTTTGAAAGAAAGTATAATTGCACAGAAATATAAGCATCTTGCTCTGGACAATTTCCTCTTGCTTAAAAAAATATACATAATTTTATTACCAGTATCCCAGGCAACTATGCTGAATAGAAATATAGGATCAAGCACAAGGATGGGTTAGGAGTGGCTATCTTATCTCAAAATATATTTTGTTTTCCTATATTATTAGCCTATGATCTAAATGACTAAGCATTGATTCCATAAATTATATCCCTAACAAACTCTAACTTGTATTTTTTCAATGAGATAGAAAAATTACCAGAGAGACAAAAACTTGAGTTACTTCAAATCCTAAATCAGCTGATAATTCCGGATGAAATACAGCAAGCTGGTAAGTGATAAATTAGGAATGATAATATATAATTATCACCTACCATATCTATATGTTTATATTCAAATTTTTAAATAAACTACTTCATGGGATTATACTTCTTGATTCACCTGTGGTGGAGATATATAGGTAGATATCATCACTTTATTGATGATACTGTACCTCATGCCTTTGGATGACATATTACAGAGGTGTCATGTAAGAAACAAAAGATCTAAGCACTGAGCACCCCCCCCACTTTGAAGAATCTAGGGCTTGACCTGTTACCCCCCAGCAGGGGTGGGTTTCGACCGGTTCGCACCGGTCCCTGCGATCCGGTTGGTCGCCGAACTCGGAAGTAAGTAACTTACGGGAACGGCGAAGCCCCCCCCGCGCCCGCGCGCGCCCGCACATCCACGCCCGCTCCTTACCCGGTTTTTACGAATTCTGCGCTTTCCACGCATGCGCAGAACGCCTGCGCGATCCTCCAGGAGCAGCTGGAGCATCGCGCAGACGCTAGTACGCATGCGCGTGCCACGTGCGTGCACGCGCATGCCGCATGCGTGCGCGAGGACGCCGCCGGCCTCGTTCCAACCGATCCGGTTGGAACGGGGCGAGAAACCCACCCCTGCCCCCCAGCAACTCCAACTAGAACCTGCCATAGAGGAAGGAGAACCGTTATAGTACAGTGCCTACACTCTTGAAAGCCAATCCAGAAGGGAGGCCATTGTTGGTGATATTGAATGCTGTTGAGATATCTAGGAGGGCCAGCATTATTCTCATCCTTGACCTTCCATAGGTCATCCACAAATGCTGTTCTAATGCTGTAACACTACCTGAATTCAGACTGAAAAGTTAATATAGATATAATCTAGGGCCATAGAGTATCTACTATACCATAACAACCTTATGTAACAAGAAGAGGGATGGAGATTGGACCAAGTTGTCTAATATGGTTGAATCTAAGGATACCCTCTAAAGAAGGGGGTATACCAGTCAGAGGTGGTATTTATCAGTTATCTGAACTACTCAAAATTTCTGCTACTGATTCTCTAGAACTGGTCAGAACTGATAAATAACACCTCTGGACCTGCCCAGCCAATATCCAGTTCCAAGTGAAATGAAATGACTTTATTCAACACATTTGAAGAATATTACTCACAGTGACCTAACAAGGTCCAGAAGAGACTTGGTCATCTAAATAGAACTGATCGCCATTTATTTCAGATGCAATGAGAGTCAAGAAATAAATAGAGTGCATCACTCTTATTGCCACAAGGTAAATCTTAATAAAGGTTGGTTGGCTTTATCCCTTTGCCTTTTGCCAGTGGTGTTCTAGTCATCCCCTAAGATTTCAGCTCTACAGGATCCATATTCACAGGGGGTCTAGATAGTCATGATCCAGTATGGACCCCATATTATATGTTCATTCCAAGCTGCCCCCAAACCCAGAGCTTTGAGGGACAAAAAACATGCACCAGGACTGGTCAAATAGGCTGCACCTCCTGCAATGTGGCTTTGGCTCAGAGAATTCTAGAACCAACAGAAAATTAATTAATAAGCTTCTTTCATACATCATCTGGTGGGGAAGGGGGGGGGAACCCTATTCTGTAATAATTATATCTTATTTTTTTCAATGCATATAGGTGAAAAAGAGGACGATGAAAAAAAAAGAACTTTGCTTGCAAATATAGTATCGGCTGTTAGGCTTTTATTGCAAGAGCAGCCTCCTGAAGCTGATCTCTCAGGTAGAAATTGTAAGATAAATATTAAAATTAGATCCTTAATATAGAGTATCCTATTGTTATAATACCGGGACACGGTGGCTCAGTTCGGCGGTTCAAATCCCTACCGCCACGGAAGGGAATGAGCTCCCATTACTTGTCCCAGCTTCTGCCAACCTAGCAGTTTGAAAGCACGTAAAAAAATGCAAGTAGAAAATTAGGGACCATCTTTGGTGGGAAAGTAACAGCATTCCGTGTGCCTTTGGCATTTAATCATGCCAGCGACATGACCATGGAGATGTCTTCGGACAGCGCTGGCTCTTTGGCTTTGAAACGGAGATTAGCACTGCCCCCTAGAGTTGGGAATGACTAGCACATACATTCGAGGGAAACCTTTACCTTTACTTATTCTTATAATAGAAAAAGTAAAGTGATGGAATGAATGATTTGCTACTCTAGCCAAAAACTATAAACAAATAGAATTGTAACTTTATGTTTAGTTCCTTAGCACCATTGGCTAGGTTAAATAAGTCTTCCCCCCCTTTTTTTTTAATAGAGAAAGAAAAAAATGATCTGGTAGAAGAAAGAACAGCCATCCTTTCAATCCTAGACTCACATGTAAAAGATTATCAACAAGTTAGAAAACACGAAAATATTGGTGGGTATCAAATCATGTAGAAATAATTATATAATATTTAAATCATTATTAACATAAATGCTAGTTATATTTAATTTCAAGATTTATAGGAGTGCTCAGTTCAGACTCTGACCCTGGCAGTGTACAGTATAAACACAATAAATGAAGAAGAATTAAAAGTAAAGAATATGTTGATAGTGATCAAAAATGTGTATAAAAAGAAAAATTAGAGTACATCAGATACTATGTGTGTGTGTGTGTGT